GTTTATCCTAGTTAATTATACGACATTAATTGGTTTAAATTGTGTACAATGCTTTTGTGTTTTTCCCATAGGGTTTTCTCTTTCGATTCTGAGAGACACATTTCTTTTTTCAGAGGTTTTGATAGGCTAAAATCACGCCGCAATGCACGTCGGGATATGGTGTTTATGTGATATGAAATCGGAAAACTTTTTTTTTTTTTTAATAATAATACTTTATTCCGAGTGTTCTTGCTTTTCTCTTTGAAAGTCATCACATAACGGCATTGTAATACACGGTTCGGCTGCATTAAATATTACATATCTGCCGTAGATATGTATTTATAGAGCCCTGATCAGAAGACCTTTTGACAAACTGGAAGAGATGCCGCCAAAACTGAATACGTGACGTGGACCATAAAATATCAACAATTAAACAACATCTTCCATTTCTTTTCACACAATACGTCTCCTTGCAGTATCAACACTAATTCGGCTGACTTTTATATTTGATCCAATAAGTAGATAGTCTGTATTTACACCATAACGGTGCACAGCTGATAGAAAGGGATTTTTTTGTAGTTTTTAAAGATATTACTGATTTTCTGAACTACCTTTCCAACTCCTCATGCAGTTGACTGTTACAGGTCTATACAAGTTTATGGTACAATGCATAAGCTTCACATTGAGAGACTGAAACTGTATTTTCCTTTAGCGTTCTGTTTTAATTTCACAATAAAGTGAATAGTCATATTATGTTTGATATGATTATGTTTTATTAACTAGACCACTGGTCTAAACCGTACCTCCTAGTGGTTAAAGCATGTTATTGAATTTAGTTGTTGAATAAGTTTAATTTGTATGAAAACATTTAAATATTAAGAGTAGCCTACATACAAAATAGGGGTCAATGATAGAAATATAGAATAGAAAATATCAAGAAGATACTGTAGTGATCTCTACAATAAAACAGTTTAGTGCAGGACGTCCAAAGATATTAACAGGAGGATGTGCAAAACAGACAAACTGATAAGGCTGAATTTTACTCAGGTGTAACGAAAGTCTGATTTAAGGGTTGTTTATATTTCACATCATTAATCAGAATCTGCAAAGTAACAAAAATAAATGTAGTAGAGTAAAAATACCAGGTTGACCTCTGAATTGTATTGGAGTAGAACAAAGTAGTACATGCTGCTGTAACAAAAACATTTCCCAACTTGGGATCAATAAAGTATCTTATCTTAAGATGATCGATGGCTACTGCCATATTTGCTAAATGTGCATCTGAACCTTGACAAGTGCATGTTTCAGGCTTATCAATTAACAACAGGAGGGGTCACAGACATAAGACCAGCTGTTAAATAAAGCTCTTCTGACCTTAGCTGTCATGTGGGTATATTAATGCTGCCCATTATGGGCACAAGCAATTTTCACCCATGTATTAATTATATGTTTTAAATTTGATAACACCAATGTGTTTCGTATCCCCTAAACCTCCAGGGATGTATACAGTTTAATACTGGCAACTTCTAATTGTGGGAAATACGAAAACGTCTTATAAAACTACAATTCCCAGTAGAGACGTGCCATAGAACATATTGCGAAACACACAATAGCCAGCATGTGTAATTCTGGGGGGGAGGGCTGGGCTGGACCCGTCCAAGTCCAGTTTTGGATAGTCTGGCGTGGTTCCATTCCATTTCAAAGAGATGTTTGACATTCGGCGTAACCTTGTCGCACTGCCACTCCAACATCCAATCACAGAGCTTGAGGGCTAATCACGGGGTTTGTAAAGCAAGGCGGATGTTGTAGTCCCAAACGATAGCTGGGGATTCTGGGTAGTGTAGTGTCTTCGGAAACTCTGTAGTGTCTAAACTCCGAAAAAACTATTTGTTTCTCCGAATCGAAGGTTAAAAACACAAAAGCATTGTACACAATTTAAACCAATCAATATTGTGTAATTAACAAGGATAAACTGATGTTTTTTAGTGGATGAGTAATGGAGATCATTTGACAGTGTGGGGAATACTTTCGGTTTTATTATGAAAACTTCGAGACCGGAAATACTGTTTTCACCCATGCTAACTTTACATGGAAGCTGCCCCATATACAGTACACGTTCTCCTGGCGAGACCTCAAATTATCTTCGTATATCTATCAAACTGTAGATCCTACACATCCACTGGACGTAGATTATAAAAGTACAATATACACTTCTCGCTAGAAATCTAATAAAAAAGCATTTTAATGGCCAAACTATTCCACAATTTAGGATTTTCCAGAGGGTAATTTGTGAATAAACGACCCTCCGGAGCGTTTGCAATCGACAGGAGCATGTTGTTTCTTACACGACCACTAGAGGTGCTACACTTTAAAACGTGACTCTGGGTCGTATTTAGCTGCTGAACAATCGACCTATATGGTCGTTTTTTGTAGGAGGACAGGCTGCTTAAACCATAGAGGGTGTTTACTATGACCAAAGAGGGTGCTTACTATGACCAAAGAGGGTGCTTACTATGACCATAGAGGGTGCTTACTATGACCATATGGGTGCTTACTTAAACCATAACATCTGCAAACTAGATCCTTATAAGATATTAACTAGAACAATAAAGGATGCTAACTAGAATCATACAAGTTTTTCTAACTAGAACCATAAAGGATGCTAACTACCACATAACCTAAACGTATAAAGGTCTCTACCTAGAACTGTTCTCAAAAGAGAACCCTTTAATGAAGGTTTCACTCACCTAGAACCCAACATTAAAGCTGTCCACTATGAGGGTGCTGACAGTAAGCCACCAATGTGGTTTTACAGATAACTCTTTATACATTCCAAAGGGTGTCATCAAGAACACATCCAAGGAGCCTCTAAAAATAGACTTTTTTATCAAGGTTCCACCTATAAACCTCAAGTATTCCAAGGGTTCTATGAAGAATCATACTACATTTTACAGATGAACTAAAAACGTAAGAATCTGATGCTTTGTAGATGGTGGTTAGGGCAAACCACAATTAGATGGTTTTACTTCAACGTGTCCGCCTGCGGCCATGGCAACCGCATCCAGGGGCCTCATGCTGGAAAGGGCCTTGCTGATGTTGCAAAGCAACACATAGGCACTAACCCTAACAATCAGTTTGTGGGGGGGAGGATATTTGAACACCAATGCTTTCATCAATTATTGAAAAATGATTTCTTCCCAAAGGGGTTATAATAAAACCTGTGGTCTTACAAAAAACACTTTAATTAAAAGAACAAATGATACTGTAGAACCTTAGCCGGTCAGCAAGAACCCTTATTAGAGTCTAGTATAAATGATTTTGAAGGTAATACATCATCTATTGAGAGTTTACCCCTGACTAACTTTGAAAGAGTTAAATTGTATTTTGCCTGTTGTGTGATGGTTTGTTATGAAATGTGTTTAACCCTCACACACTGTTTAAACTTACTTGAGTTGGGAGGATGTTCAGGTAAGTTGTGGGTTCCAAACCCTTTAAGCCACACATTTTTAGGATGACGACCCTGACAAACCTGCAGATAGTTGTAAAGAGGGTCTGTAATACAGGATGAGGGAACATTCTGTACATGATGGTTATAGAAGAGGTTACATGAAGACATCTTCTGTGTGTTCTTACCAGTGTTACGGTCATTCCAACCTTTTGTTTGTTCAAGTCACTAAATGTTTCCCACAAAGGTTGTTTAGTTGAATTCCTCTGCAGACATCTCATAGGCCTGCCCTGTTCATGTGCAAGACAAAAAGCCTTCTCATAGCAACAGACGTTTCTTTCTAAAGAGAAAAGCAAACATAGCCTTGACATTATGTTGACAGTGTATAGGCCATGATAAAGCAATGTTCATATTGCAATACTTTAACAATGCTCCTGATTCTTTCTTTAAAATATGTATTCTTGACTTACGTAGGAAACTATTTCACCTACAGGTCCATGCATTAAAGTGTTCTTGGTGCTTTTGATTATATTGCATGCTCTCCTTCAGCAGAGTTACGGAATTGCCAGTTGTTTTTACTGAGCCCTTCCAGAACTTCTTGTCCGTGTCAGCTTCAAAGTTCTGAATTAGAAGTTCTTACTTGTGCTTTGAAACAGTAGCAAAACCAACAAATAAACACAAGGTCCATTTCACTTAACATGTCTCACATCACTGCTTGTGACACTTTGATCGTGTCACATTTACTAGATTAAGGCTTGTCAAGAATACACTTTTCATCAAAAATCGTAACTTCAACATGGACGTGAAGTCCTTTATTGATATTTGCATAATAATTCTATTTAAATAGCAATGTCTTAACCGACTGTACCTACCTGTTCAGCATCAAACAGCAGTCAGACATAGTAAGGGACATTAGTAGGTGGATGTAGGCCTTTAGCAACTAAAAGCCTTTTCCCCTCAGGTTGGTGAAGACCAAGAACAGAGATAAAAAAGATTGAATATTGGGCTTCAGGTGGGCACGAGCATGACTGAATGTATGATCATATTGCTTCATAACAGCATAATGTGTACATAAGCAACTGGTAGCTGTCGAGCTCACCATTTCATCTGAACAGTTTTCATACTGTATCGGTGTGTTCACAGCTTGTTTCTGTTTCCACCAAGTGGCCAAAGAGAACATAGGGTGTAGGTGCTAAAAAGAAAGAACATTTGAACATCTACATTTTCACGACAGCTGGGCAAACTTCCTTTGCTAAGAGAGATTATGAAATATGAAACTATTTGGACCTTTTGTCTTTGGTGAGACTGTTGTTTCTATAAAGCTGAGCATATGAATCTGATGCCTGCAAGAAGTTCTTGAAGTCGTGTTGGAGTGTTGAACTGATGGATGCTGCAATAATTCAATGTACGATGTGTGTTGCCCATAACAGATTGGAAATGTTCTGCATGGACAAATGTTCTTTAATCCTATTTTCAGAGAAACAACATTTTTACCAAATGCCTAAACTAACTTAACAGCATATTTGTAGACATGAGATGTGGTAGAAAACAGAGGACTTGACACTGCTGCCATAAATAAGAGTTGGTTACAGCATTTATTTCAATTTTCTGACAAAACTCCACACAAAAACAAACTTGAGACCAAGCTGAAAAAGAGAGATCCTTCTATTGTATTTCATTTCATTTTTTTTGTTTTCGCTGCTGTTTGGCAGGTTAAAGGTGGGGTAGGTCATTTTGGAGAAACCAGCTCGAGTGCGCTAGAATTTGAAAATACACAGCCGGAAGAAATCAACCACTTCCTTACAGAGCCCCTCCTCCTACACACACGAACGCGCACATGACCAATGAGGGCGCAAGATAAGTTTGTGCACAGATGGAAGGCTGACAGGCAGGTAGGCCATCCAGTTACTTTAGCCGGGCCGGCTCAGATGATTGGTCGTGCTTTTTACAGTACTACGGCTTCCACAGATGACTTTTCTTTATGGATTTTTTATCAAAGCACTTAAGATATTCATTGCTATCGGGATGTTAAGAGCATTCCATGGAATATAACAACAAGTGTATTTCGAGCCGGTTTCTCAAACTTACTTACCCCACCTTTAAGGTACAGTGCCTTATTCCATATTTCCACTGATTTAAATAATGAAATCAGAGAGATTTCTCTTTTTCCGAGGACACAGTAAGATTGTAATTTTTAAACAGGGGTGAGGTTGGGGGGGGGGGGGGGGGGGGGGGTTTGAGGAAAAGAGAGGGGGTGCGGGCAGGGGGGAGGAAGGGTGGGAGAATAAGAGGAGGCAGGTATTCAAAGTGGGTGGAGGTTCACAAGGACGGAGGGTTTGCACGGTGTTCACCAACAGACAGACAGGGACAGATAAACAGGCAGGGTGAGGAGGGAGGGTCAGTCAGGGTGTGAGAGAGAAAGAAGAGAGGGAGAGACAGTGTGCTTTGTCATGTCTGAATGAAAACGAGCAGCTCTCCAGACCCACTCCAAACTTAAAAAAAAAAAACTTTTACGAACAATTTCTTAAAAAACACCCAGTCGTCTAATAGAAAACAACAACAAATAACACATGGGGGGAGGAAGGCAGACAGGGAATGGGGCAGAGGAAGTGACCTTTTTTTCCACCTTGTTGAGGGCGTGAGTGAAGTTTTATAGTGAGATTGATTCTTTATTGATGGGCAGGAGGAGGAGGAGGAGGAGGAGGAGGAGGAGGAGGAGGAGGAGGAGGAGGAGGAGGAGGAGGAGGAGGAGGAGGAGGAGGGAGGACGGCAGTAGTAGCTTGGCAGTGCGTACGTATGAAGAGAAAGAGAGGAGAGGAAGGGATGGAGCATGGCAGGAAATGGCAGAGATTTAGGAGCGGCATCTGGGTGGCTACTCTCTGGCAAGAAAACTAAAGAGACACCACCCACCCGCTCTAATCGCCACTTAGGAATAGTTTTTGTACTTGTCTCATATTCTTTATTCATGTATGCAGAGGGGCCGCGGCTCACAGTGCACTTATACGATTGGCTCATCAGTGCTACTGGCAGACTTGTGCTGTTTAGACTTTGGATAACACAGGAGGACAGAGGGACAGAGAGGACAGAGAGGACAGAGGGACAGAGACAGACCCTAACCCTCTCCTCCTCTGTTGTTGGTCCGCGCGTTGTTTTGTTCTGACTTTAAGGGATGGTGATGGAGAGGAGGAGGAGGAGTAAAGGTTATTTTCTTGAACAGTTGTTGAGAGGGGAGGGAAGGAGGGAAGGAGGAAAGGAGGAAAGAGAGGGAGAACGGCTGAGAAGTAAATGATGTCTTGATAATTTAGTAGTATGTTTCTCTTTCCACCCAGCCTGTAGAGACGAAGAGGAGAGAGAAACAAGAAAGAGAGAAGAGTTACCCATCAACACATTTAATCAAGTGATTAGCATTAAGGCAAAAATACAATTTGTAATTTAGGACTTTAAAATGAGTCCTAAAAAGTTGTTACCTGATGCAGCGGTACTAAAAAAATGATTGATTATTTGGTTATCTTTGTAAAGTAAAACTTATATGTTTTCCCTTCACATTTGACTTATTTTCACAAAGTAAAATCCACGCTGGAATGTAATTAAAATGTGTATTATTAATCGCAATAATAAGAGAGAAATATATATTTGTGTACTGTAGTATAGTGCTCCCCTGAATAAAACGATTTAACACTATTTTCTATTGAATGATTATTTGGGTAAATATTAAAAGTGTGCAACTTTCATGCTGCAGGTATGGGCGTGTCTGTGCGTGTTATCTTACCTCCTGGGTTTCGGCGAAGGATGAGTTTTCGGATCTCATCGTAAACAAAGATGAGGAAACTGTACGGGAACGCACAGAACCACCAGCTGGGCCTGAGAGAACAGAGCGAATGATACATTAATGAAGAACACACTACTCATTAACCGGCCTTAAAAGTAAAATGATTTATTTGTGTATTATAAAGGTTGTGGTATTTACCTCTAAGATATAATATTTAGAATACAAACTTGAATTACATGACATTAACGCAATCTTTTGTAATTGAATACCCCTGAAAATATAAATGTGCATTAAACTGATGTGTAGCTTACTTGAGCGGGTACATCCGTAGTGCCACGTCCATGCCTGGGCAGTAAGACAGGAGAGCAGCCAGGGCCGTTTCCTCAAACAGGCCGAAGATCAAAATCTTGTTCCTGCAAGACAATAAGTTCACAAAGAGAGCAATCAATGTTTTCTGCCACTCTAAGACTACAGGGGTCTAAATCTACTTGTGGATGATAAAATGGCTTAAAAGTTGATGTCCTGCAGGCTATAGCAGCATCAGTATCTGGGCTTGTGTCTTAGCAGCTTAAATATTGCCTGCAGAACAAAAAGAGGATAGACCGGGAAGAACCAGACAAGATGGAGGGGAAAAAGGGAACAATAATAACCTATCCCATAAATTGGGGCGATAAATGAAAGGTGTGTCAGGTTAACTTGGCTCTCTAGTGACATCTAGTGACAGCAGTGGGAAACTGCAACAAACAAAGCAATGCAGAGTTGCCAACACTTCCCCGTTCCGCTTGAGATTGAACTGCTTTTATTACTGATCAAATACCTGCATTAGTAGAGATGGGTGTATATTATTGTAATATTTGAGTAAAAGTATGTTCTCTGAGCACTGCATTGATATCAACTGTATCACATGTTCTGATCATTACTAGAAGGGAACCATTCAATGCAAATAGTGCAGCAAAGGTAGCAATAAGAAGCAACAAATACAAAATACTAAATGAATCTACTTGAAAAATAGAAGTACAGTAGTTGAGTAAATGCAAATGAGTTCCTTTTCACCACGAACATCCAGCAGTATCTGCATGTGGTAACAACATCGACTATATCCGCACGATGCTAATGCATTGGCACCGACTGACTCAAGTAGTAGAAGGTACCAGACAGTTGGTACTGTGATCACAAGCTGAAGATAAAGACACGATTAGAATGAACCTCAGAGCGGTGTGACTGACCTCATGCCCTGCTGGAACACAGAGTTACGCCTGGTCTTGCAGATGATGACGTCCGCCCACTGCACCACCACGATGCTGACGAAAAAGGCTGTGTGGCAAGTGAACTCCACTATCTTACGCTGCTCATAGGTCTACACAGAGGAAGAAACAAACGATATATGCGATTTGTGATAATAAATGGTCGTCGGCAGTCACAACACACTGAAGTTGTTGTTGCTTTTTTACTTGTATTAATGCTTTCTTTTATTCCGTCAGGTCACTCACACAGAGCCCCTGAAGCAGCAGAACACTGATCCTGTGTCAGATCGCTCTTACCCATTGCTGCCCGTAGCTGTCCTCCAGGTCGTTGTTGGAGCGATCGTCCCAGTTGAGCCGGATGCCGACAAGATCATACGGCCGGAAACCATTTTCTGCCAAGACGACAAAATATGCGAAGAAGCCGCCAAGAGCTTGGATCATACCTGCAGAAACAGAGTTTGTAGTTTATACCCCCCTTTAAATCATGGAAACTGATGACGAGACTGCATCACATGACTGACGGCAAGGTTGGCTGCTCTTTGATCTCCAAAAATGTTGCAGCAAACATTTAAACAATCAAATTGGTTACTTTCTAATTAAACCTAATAAAGTAACATACCTCAGTAACACCTCTATGCCTGGACCAATTTCTCTGAAAAGACCCAATGCTTTGTGGTACAGTTGAGTATATCCAGTAGGCTGGTGTTTCATTATTGCTAATGTAGAATACATGAGTTCATTTCTCTCGTACACAAAATCCACATACTATTCCGTTAAGTTGAAATGCACAACTTACTCATTTGGTTATAGTACTACGTAGTGAGTAGTGTTTACAATCCCTTACAAAGCACTGCATATTAGGGTCAGATGATATACTTTTTAAAACAACTGCAAGACTGTTAATACAATTCATTGGATTCAAATGTGCGTAATAGGTCATCATTAACCTACAGCAAAAATACTTTTGATGGTTACTGCAGTTGGATCATGTCGGTGTCAACATGCGTTCAGAAAGACAATATCTTTGTGTTATTGCACGGCTTAGTTCTGATTGGACAATTTGGACATTCCAGAGGTTATGCATATCAATAACACACCGCTGCTAAGCATACCATCAATGTTGCTAAGGAGGATCAAGGGACAGAAGGAAAGGGACACGGTGTGGGCTCTGCATTGTTTAAGGACTTGTTAGTGGGAAAGAAACTGTGAACAGACCTGGAGTTACAGAAAACCTCCATCAGTGCTGCCGTTCATTTCAAGATGAGTTTTCTTTTCTTAGCGGAAGCAGTATGATCATTTTCAAGTCAATTGATCAGTCATTGTCATTTCAATTTATATTGGGAGTCCAGTCGTTAGTTTGTTTAGTGTCGCGTCGGCCTCCGTGATCAGCTTATCGGGTGTTCTTTTTTTCAATAATGACCGCCTCACAGCACATTATACCTTGCTTATCATTTCATGAGAACACATGGCACCTACCGATCTGTCCGTAGGCGATGCTGATGAGTCTCTCGTTGACCAGTTTGTCCCTCAGTGGGTTTCTGGGCTGGCGCTTCATGATGTCACTCTCTGCTGCTTCATAGGCCAGAGAGATGGCTGGTACCTGATGGAGGAGACATTCATCTTTTAGTGCTTTTATATCAGAAGTGGATGGTTTACACTGAATGCATTCACTTTGTGATGCTTTTTTCCCCCTTTACATTCTTAACTTTCCAATCATGACAAACTGGTCTGGTAACACACTGCCACCTAGTGCCCGTCTTGTTTAATACGCTTTAGACACAACCTTGAACTCAATATCAGGGCTGTATTTAATTCATTGAGATGCTCGACGGTCTCCAGATGGATGTTTACGGCCCGTCCACACAGCGGCGTGCGTTGAAGCTTGCCGGCGGGCGTGTCTGAAACTCGACCAACAACCAATCACATGAATCTCCCGCCCCTGACACACAAGCAGCGGTTTGATTGGCTAGAGCTTGTACTGGCATATGATTCGATTGGCTGACGCTTCTGCCGAGGCTTCAAAAGTTGAACATTGCTCAACTTTTGCAGCGAGCCACGCCAGCAAAGCTCCGCGTCGCTTCCCACAATGCAGTTCGGCGAAAAGTGACGTCACCCCATACAAAGTGAATGGTGAAGCTTTCAACGCACGCCGCTGTGTAGACGGGCCGTTATTGATGATGCAGGTGACAGGTAATACATAGTGTGGAGTGCATGCAGATGAAAATAGTTGCATTGTTTGCTACTGCTACAGAACAAAGAAAATGATGAATTTTCTTTGCTGAGCACCATCTGACAAATTTGTCATTTCAGAATTTGCCCGGAAGTTACTATTTATTCTTCTGTTTTTTCATGAACCCAACCTTCCAAAATTCCCTTAACTCTTGGAAATTAATTTCTAAATTTGTGTTCAGTATCACCTGCATCTGTAGCCTGTTATTGTCTCATTATACCGCACTGTGAATGAATTAAAAGTAAATATATAAGTCGTCATGAACACATGTGTCCATCAGACAGAGGGCTGCTGTGCCTCCTGTCATCATTAATGGACGTCTCTTTAAAATGACCGCTCAGAGGAGAGGAGTTCTCATTTCTCTAACCGCCTGCTGCTTCCCCTCCTCTCTCCTCGGTTCCCCTCCTCGGCTCCTCCGCTCGCATCTCCTGTGGGCGGGACTAAGTCTCGAGGATAGGAGTCGAGGAGGGGAATTAGAGAATTGAGAAGCCTTCAGTGTCTTGTTCTATGCAGATTCTGAATATTACCAGATTTCATTCTTCTATTTTATATTGTGTTAATTTTGTGGAAACATTTTGAACTTTCTCGTTGCCCTGAGGATAATAACCAGGCATTACTGTATATACTGGCCAGCTGAGAACCTGTCTGACATGTTCACATGTCTGTGTACAGCTGAGCATTACTGGTTCACGGTGCATGCACCGTGAACCAGTAATGCTCAGGCATGAAAGACATGAAAGGCATGAAAGAGAGCTGAGTTTATGGGGACACATGTGGCTGGAAGGTGGCTTCTGCATGTGTAATGCCTGACTGGACATAAGCACATTATGCTACAGTGTTTATGTGTATGTTTACAGTGTGCGCAGTCCAGTTATATTTGTATGTCCGTGTCTCTTACCATGTCAGTACCCAGGTCAATGCAGAGGATGGTGATGGTGCCCAGAGGCAGGGGGATGTTGACCAAGATGAAGAAGAGGAAGGGGGTGATCTCTGGGATGTTGCTGGTCAGAGTGTACGCGATGGACTTCTTCAGGTTGTCAAAGATCAGACGACCTGTTAGGAAGAAGATGGTGAAAAAAAACAGATGCATCCCAAAAATAATAAACGCGAGGGACACCTCAGTACCTCATTAACATTGCATTCATTAACATTGCTTTGCAGTAGAAAGCTAGTAAGTAATGCTCCAAACTCATGTCTTTTTGTAATTCCATCATATCTATTGTCTCATTTTTTCATTGCACCACTACCTTTAAATATGACATATTGTTATCATGGTGAAAACAAGACTACAATAGACTCAACAACAAGAACATGTTAAGATACTAAATCTTTTTATGCCGACAGTATTTCAAATGTATTTCTTTTCACATACATTAACTGAAAATGTACTGTCTGTTACTGAATGTAGTATTTCAACCTGATTGTAACCTGTAAATCTTAGGTTAACTCTTGTGTGGCCTGACGCTAAAAACCTTTTAGCTCAAATTTGGCAATGACACCTGACCATTTTTCTTTTAATTAATCGCAGGTCTATAAAATGTCAGAAAGTAGTGAAAAATGTCCATCCCAGTTTCTGAATGTTCAAGGGGATTTCTTTAAATGCCTTGCCTAAACATGTTCACTTTAATGATATGAAGCAGAGAAAAGCAGGAAATGTCTATATTTAAGAGGTTAATTTTTTTTCCTAACATTTAATAAATAATAAATAGATGGCAACTTATCGTTAAGTCGTTCAAAGAAAGACAAAAATCGAATCCTTGCAGTTCTACCTCGATTCTACCATTTGGGTAACTTTCATCATGGCAGTTTTTCTTGCTCCCACTGTCCCTGAACGCATCGTCCCTCACCTTCTTCCACTCCAGTGACGATGGAGGCGAAGTTGTCGTCCAGCAGGATCATGTCGGCTGCCTGTTTGGACACGTCCGAGCCGGAGATTCCCATGGCAACCCCGATGTCAGCCTTCTTCAGGGCAGGGGAGTCGTTCACACCGTCACCTGTCACAGCCACGATGGCACCCTTTCAGAGGTGAAAGAAGTACAGTACTTAGGTCTTATACTTAGGTAAAAGTAGAAGTACCCGAGTACTTGAGTAAACTTACTTAGTTACTTTACACCACTGACCCTGACAGAGAAGAGGACACACGATTTAGAGCTTTCCTTCCCATTCAGGATGCACAATTACCATGCTGTCATTCTTTTCATTAAATGCATTTGTTTGCAGGTGCACTTTTACCCCCCTGTGTACATGTATATGAGAGTGTGTGTGTGTACATCAAGTTAATATACCAGTCTCTGGCAGCCTTCTACAATGATGAGTTTCTGCTGTGGGGAGGTTCTGGCAAACACGATCTCTGTGTGGTTCCTCAAAATGTCGTCCATCTGGTCCTGACTGAGGTCTTTCAGATCTGTTCCGTGGATCACACAGGCCTTCGCATCTCTACATGACACAGATAAAGGAAACACTTGTTTAACGACAAGCTACTGACATAACATTGATGCAATTTATGAGCCTACATCGAGCGTTTACTGTATAAAAATGATTGTGAATGTCCCATTCCATCCTGTATATGGCTATGCAGGGGAGGCTAATCTTACATTGAGTTTGTCTTACCGTGGGTTGACCTGGCTGACAGGAATGTTGAGACGTGCTGCAATGTCTTCCACTGTCTCGTTGCCCTCCGAGATGATGCCCACACCCTTTGCAATGGCCTTAGCTGTGATTGGGTGGTCACCAGTCACCATGATAACCTGAAATAAAGCAGGAAGAAGAAGTTAAACAGGCAGGTGATGACAGGGAAGGAGAAATAGACAAAAGTTACAAACAAGTTAAGAGATGAAAAGTAAAATAGAGGAAATGGAATGAGAATAATAATGAAAGAAAGAGGAAATAGGATTGAAAAGAATACTATTGATAATAAATGATACGAAATTCCCTTAAAAATGTGTGTGACAGTCATCCCCAGCCCTCGCACACCGGGGAGTGCTCGGTTCTTCTTTTGTCTGGGCCTTTAAATGCCACACTTGAAATGTACCCACCTTGATGCCAGCCGAGCGGCATTTGCCCACGGCGTCAGGCACTGCTGCACGGGGAGGGTCGATCATGGACATGAGGCCCACGAAGCAAAGGTTGTCCGTCTCGAAGTTGACTTCATCCGTGTCAAAGGCAAAACCTTTTGGATACTTGTCCTCTGGCAGGAACACGTGGCAGAATCCTGAAGTACAAACACATGAATTACAAAAAGGAAGATACCATAGCTCAAATACAGGAGTTGCTGAGTTCTAAATCATGACCTTAGTTAATCTTCTATCATCCTTACCCAATACTCTCTCTCCCAGTCCTCCCAGTTCCTGGTAGGCATTCTGGAAAGCCTCTTTCATCTCCTCGTCCATGGGCTGCTCCTTGCCCTGCACCATGATGTGGGAGCTGCGGTCGAGTATCCTCTCTGGTGCTCCCTTCATCACCAACAGGTAGCTGTTTTCGTTTCCCTCTTCAGTTTCATGAATTGAGAGCTGATGGGAACAGATTTAGGTGTGAGCATCAGAAAAATGTAATGTGTTAACCTGTTCACTACAACACTTTGTAGGTCTGCATTGTTTGTTAGTTGAAAAAGGGAACAAACCTGGTACTTGTTGGTGGAGTTGAAGGGGATCTCGGCCACCTTCTTGTTCTTCTCCCTCATGGCCTTGACGGAGCCGCAGGACAGCTCGATACACTTCAGCAGGGCGGACTCGGAGGCGTCGCCGGCTACATCGCGCTTCAGGATGGGAAGAGTGTCCTGGGCAGCCTTGAACACAGCACGGTTGCACAGAGCGGCTATGCGGGCCAAAGACACCCATGTTGCGGAGCTTTTGTCGAAGGAGGAGCCTAGAGAATGAGACAATTATAGACAGCTGTAGTAGCATCTAATTCACATAAGCTTGCTGTTAGTTGTTTTTGTTTCGAAAAAAAGATTCTTCTGTTATTCTACTTTAAGGTTTTAAAATGCAGATACCATTTAATTTGATGATTTCATTGGTGGTAGGGGTGGTAGGGGTTTCTAACCAACATATATTTTTACAAGCCTTTATTGCATGCCAGATTTTTATTTTTGATGCTGGAGTTTCTTAATATTTGTAGGATGTTTTAAGGCATGCTGCGTGAAGACAAGAGGGAGAGGGAAATCTCACCAGATTGGTCCTCGGTGGTGTCAGCCTCGTGGATGGTGTTGTCGAACCACATGTGGGCCACCGTCATCCTGTTCTGAGTCAGGGTGCCCGTCTTGTCGGAGCAGATGGTAGAGGTGGAGCCCAGAGTCTCTACAGCCTCCAGGTTCTTCACCAGGCAGTTCTTACGAGCCATACGCTTAGCGGTCAGCGTCAGGCACACCTGAGACACGAGGGAGACAAAAGAAAAGAAGGAAACAGAGGAAAGGGAGAGAGGAAATAGCAGCAAGAAGAGAAGGAAGGAATGACAGTAGGAAAGAATGTGTGGAGAGAGAAACAAACCAAAGGAGAAAGAGATAATTAGTATCTGTGTTAAACTAACAGCACAGATGAACATCTCCAGGTACCAACTTCTGCTAATAAGCAGCCACATCAGGGCCATACTCTACCTGGAACAAATAACCACAGCCATGAATTAAACCGCCCCTGAAACCTGAAGATGTTCAGCCTGCTCTTAGCCATGTTCTACAGCAAAATGCACTAAAAACCAAAACATCCGTTACCAAATAATACAAAAACAGCCCAAACAGCGATGCAATAGAAAAACAAGGCTCGAATGAGTGAAGCCGTGATGCAGAGCGGCGGTGCATTATGTCATCATGCCAAGTACGGCAAGACACCGGGGCCAAACAGAACTAGCAAAGCAGAGGAGGCCGAATTCAGTCTATGAAGCTGTCTAGTCATTAGCCTAATATCTTTACATTAGCTAGCCGTTGTCATTGCAGACAGCACCACGACTGGCCTGGAAGAGAGAGAGAGAGACATACACAGAGGAAGATGGAGAGAGAGGACACAAACACACAAACACATGTGGAGCTGCTTTAGGAGAAGGAGAGAAGAGAGGAGATGGGAGGAGAGATATAGAGACCGGGACAATACACCACCACCTTCACCACAGAAACAGGTACTGACACAGAGACAATGTTAAAGCACATATAATACAAAGGTACACACAGAGATGCACAGAGACATGACAACACACCCGAGCACAGCACTGGAAGCAGCAGGGACAGAATCAAACAGCAGACACGACAAAACAACGTCATCCTGAACACACAAACAGACAGGGGTGAAACTTGAACCTGCTTGGGACAGTGTTAAAGCAAAGTCATTTTCTCATAATATCTACAATAGAGTGAAGCTGTGATTATTTGTTTTTGTAGACTCGTAAGCTAGCAACAGAAGGGCTCCCTTGACAAAAAGCATTGCAATTTATCAATTGGATTTTGGAATTTTGCTGCTAAAAAAAAAAGAGTCCGCTAATGTTAAGTGTGAAGACATTTAGTTTGTGTTAGAAACCGCCGTTTTAAAGACACATAGAAGCTTAGGACAATAAAGAGTGGGGTATTACTGACAAATGTTATGTCATAGAACAAAAGGTCGAAATCACCTAAGCTTCTATTAAAAACACCCCTTATTTCAGGTATCTAAAAAAAACATTAAAAAAAACTGTTGACTTTTAGACGAGATCACTTGAAATTGTAAAATGCTAACTCATTTCCAGGTTTTAGGACTCATTCCTGCATCACTTAAACCAACCATACGTTGGGCCTCGTTTAAATGTGGATGATTGTAAGTAGGGTACTTTTTGGGAAAATAAGTGGTTCAGAACAGAGACATGACATGACAACAACTATGTTAAAAGCTGTTTTTCCTGATTTGTTGTGTCAATTAAATATAAAAAGTAAATTAAAATACTGTTACAAGTCTGTGCAAAATACTGGGAACTGAGGAAGAAACCAAACACACAAGGACCATGAAGACTTACAGACGCAAGAAAAAATAAGACGCACTGAAGTAATTACACAACAACCTTGTAAACATACCTAATAATTCCTGTCCCTCAGAAACACAATAACTATTAACTCTTTCTACTCACAGTGACGGTGGCCAGCAGTCCCTCGGGAACATTAGCAACAATGATTCCGATGAGGAAGATGACGGCCTCCAGCCAGGAGTAACCCAGGACGATTGACAGGATGAAGAACGACACGCCGAGGAAGACGGCCACGCCTGTGATGATTTGGATGAAGTGTTCGATCTCCTTAGCAATAGGTGTCTAAAGAGTAGGAGAAGAAGAAGGTGTTTGGACTGATTGAAGAAGATGATTGACTTTCACTGGAATGCTCGAAGCTCTTCTGTTATTATTTAATAACCTTTTTAATGTTAGTTTCAACTTAAACTTCACGAAAAAAAACAAGATGCGTCTGACTAAATATGATAAAAACTAAGGAAAATTGACAGGGGACAAAGACTAAATAAAGAGAAAGTGACAAAACAGATACTAGTTTTAACAAACTATGACACATATTGACGCATTCCCTAAAGCCCCTGTCACACTGTCCCGAAATTGACACCCGATGGACACACGAATATAGAATTGTGAATTTCGCACGATGATGGCCCCGAACCACACACGAAGGCAACATTTACATTACATTTAAGACATACAACTGCAATGAAAGTACCAAAAACAATTATGTTACAGTACTATGATACTGTACTGATATCTTCAGACTTTGTTCTTTACTTTATCCGTCGTTATATGTAGAAAATATTACGTTTTCTCCGTAATGTCGTTTCCATAACAACAACAACTTCCTGTCAACTGTCCTTCAAAATAATATATTATATCCTTTTTAGTTTCACAGAACACAAATTGGGTTATTTACATAATATGTTTACATGATTTTGTTGTGCAATAAAACAACCCGATGGACACACGATAAAGGAAATGTTCAAATTCGGCTGTGATCGTAGCAACATCGGGCCATTCGTGAGGGCATCTTAAGCCATCGTATGACCGCCGGTGGAGTTTCTCAGGCTCCGGCAGCAACTTCGTGAGCGGTGGCAAAATCTTTGGCATGCCAAAAAATAGCCGAAGGACCTTGCGAAGGTTCATTTTCGTGTTGAATTCGTGTGTGAATGTTGCCCTTCGTAAGGCCATCGTGAGGGCATCTTGTTATCATCGGTGCCATCGGGCATTCACCCTCACTCTGATCTGATCTGATGATAACACGAAGATGACACGATTTGACAAGATGCCCTCACGAGTGCCTTACGAAGTTGCCACTCACGAAGTTGCTGCCGGAGCCTGAGAAACTCCACCGGCGGTCATACGATGGCTTAGATGCCCTCACGAATGGCCCGATGTTGCTACGATCACAGCCGAATTTGAACATTTCCTTTATCGTGTGTCCATCGGGTGTCAATTTCGGGACAGTGTGACAGGGGCTTAACTGTTATGGTAACAAAAAGCCAGTTTTGAAAAAAAGAAACCTCCATTTATTTTGTGGCTTATGAAAGACATAACATAATGAATATGGTACCTTGCCAGTCTCCAGGCCTGAGGTGAGGGTGGCGATGCGGCCCATCACTGTACGATCTCCAGTGCAGACAGCGATGCCGCGCGCTGTTCCTGAAGAGACACAGGAGAGGGAGTAGTTTATATTATTAACTTCTTTACTCACAGCAAGATGAAGAAAGAGCAAAACAGAAACAGACATGTCAGAATGAAAATGTGTAGACTGAGTATAGACAACTGCCTGAAAAGACTGGGTGGTGCTGGACCAAATGCAATGTACTAATATGTCCACAGGAGCGCACTATACATCATCTTTTCCTATTCTTCCACTGTGGAGCTCAGTGAGAGTCACAGGGCCTCCCAGTAATATGATGGGACGGAACAGGTATGAGGTTAAATGGGGTCACATTTCCAGACCAGTGATGTCACTAGGCCCTCATCCTTCAGCACACCTAACACTTTGACTGTGATCTACAGTGAATGCTATTGTGTTGGCTTTTGGTTAGTAAGACAAAACAAACATACACATGAAGCCAACTGTGCATATAGAAACTGTTAGAAGACAGGAGAGTGGCTTACGCTAACAGTGTTTGGTTTGTACCGTCTTTGTGGAATATACGATGGTAATTTAGATTTTGGATAGAAGTGGGGATGCACCGATGTCACATTTTTCAGCGGGTGCCGATGTTTATAGAAAAGATTTTGGCGATGGCAATTTTTGATTGTATTTTGTTGTGGATATTTATTCCACTTTTGTGCCAGGAAAATAAAAACAAAATGTTTTATTAAAAAAGATGAACCGTTTTTCCAGGCCTACATAATGTACTATCTTTGAATGATACAATTATTTTTAACAAAATCTCTCTACTTTGCTGTACTATAAACTACTAATTGAAGAGATTTTAAGTTCCAACGGACAGTGGTTGCTTTTGATTCTTGTTTTCCATCATAATCCGTTATTACCTGTCATTTTTTATACAAATAAATATATATTTAATAGCATTAAATTGTTTAGTTTATTCATTTATTTATGCATTTATAAAAGCATGTTCAATTAAGATGAACACAGGTTGTGAGCTCACTTCATGTCAACATGAAAACGTATAAACTGTATAGCTACGGTCAACACATGTTCATAGAAGTGATCGTGGCCTTACCTTCGACACAGTTGGTGGAGAAGAAGGCGATGTTACGGGTTTCCAGGGGGTTGTCATGGGTGCCGTCAGGGGACCGCGTCTGAGGCTCGGATTCACCGGTCAGGGATGAGTTGTCCACCTGGAAGTGTGAGAACCAAAGAAGCAAAGAGGAGAGAAAAAGGGAGTGGATAACTGGTGCATTCCGCATAACATTGTTTGCACCTTCCGCTATATTTGTATAACCACAATCATTTGTAGGGTGATGATGTAGTTACATATGCCAGACATTCAATGCTTTGTCCTCCTATTTCCGCCCTTATTTGAATGAAGACGGTTTGTTTTCAATAAAGATATAACTTCACATCAAAGCATTCCAAGACTCATTTGAGGTGACTTTGAGGATTTACAGCAACATTTGCATCTGTGTGAATTTAGCATGAGGATCAACAGTTTACACAGCTATTATGAATTTACAGTACAGTGATTTATTCTCGCATTGTGAGGATGCTGTGCTTATTCTAATTAATAATGATTCACCCAGCACATCAGGCAGATTCCAAACAGGGAAGACAGAAGCTCAAAGGAGATGTTACACTCACACTGATTTCTACTGTGCAATCACATCTTTACTGCCACTGAAAGTCAAGTTTTCTTGTTACTGAAATTACTTAGTTAAGCAACTGAGACCTGACGCTCTACAAAACCTCACTGAGCTTTACAGTTAGGGTTGTTTTTTCCTTGGCGTTAAACAAATTCAGTAGTGTATCTATGGCTGTAAGTAACCCACCTTGCAGCCGTGGGAGGAGACGATGCGGAGGTCAGCGGGGATCCTGTCTCCTCCTTTCACCTCCACCAGGTCTCCTGCCACCACCTGCTCAGCGTTGATCTGCATCTTTTCTCCCTCACGTATCACCAGGGCTTGCTGCAAAAAGAAGAAAAGAGTAAATATGTAATGCCAAAACCAACTCAAATCTGAAAAGGTGAAAAGCACAAAAGTAATGCAATTGTAAGGTACATCAGAGATTGGGAAAAAAAATAGGAATGTTATTGAGCTTCCAGTACCTGAGGGACCATGTTCTTAAAGGACTCCATGATCTTGGAGCTCTTAGCTTCCTGGAAGTAGGAGAAGCAGCCGGTGATGATGACGACAGCTGACAGCACGATACCCAGGTACAGCTACAGTACAGAGACAAGATAGAAATGAAAATAAAACTTCATTTATCTAAAAATGTCAAAACAGAGGAAAGGAAGACAAATAACAGACCAGTGGAAAGACACACAGACGGTGACTACGTTAACAAATGATCAGTGAGGCATCCTGACATCCAAAGAGGAAAAGGAACTTTTTCAGGAAGTTCTGTAAACAACACAAACTGTCTTTTATAGAGGTTTCATCCTTTAGCTGACAGCAGCATGCGGTTTTATTTGGACATGATCATCTGTTTTCTGCCTATATGGATTTCATGACAATCGTCACTAGAAGGTCCACATTCAATATTTAAACGGTCCTCTCGTCCGACATAACTGCATTACGCTGATCATGTTGTGAATTTATCCTGGGTGAGTGATACAGTGTGTAACTCATGCTGAATGGTCACTGTTGTTGTTTCACCCCCAGTGGTTCCCTGTAGTCACATCTAAGTATGTTGTCCTCTCATGCTGTGTGTCAGTGCCACTTACCCTCAGTCCCGGCTCAACTCTGTGCTCTGACCCGCCATAAAACATGCTGACCCATGAACTGTCATTACTCTCATATGGCCATGACTCTCACTCTCCCTGGGGCGGGCCCAGGAATGGATGGCAACAGGATGGTGTGTGTCAGACGAAGACGGGTTGGAGTGATTCAGACAAAAGGCTGACACAACCTTTATCAGTGACACAGACACCCCCCTGAGGAGTAGTGAGTCAGCAAATCGCTCTTTGAGTGATGTCCTGGAGGTTAAGTAGCATACACACTGAGAGAAGTAAGTAGTTGTCTATGTGTTTACCCCCTCTGGTGCTTTTTGATATCTGGTTTCTCATAAGTATTGCACAACTGTGGTGCAACTGTCCACTTACGTTATCCCCAGCGGGCTCGTCCTCAGTGGCAGCCTGGATGGCGTAGGCCAGGAAGCAGAGGAGGGCACCGATCCACAGCAGGATGGAGAAGCCCCCGAACAGCTGGCGACAGAACTTGACCCACTCCGGGGTGGTGGGGGGTGGAGTCAGGGCGTTTGGGCCGTCCCTGATCAGGTACTCTGCTGCCTTGGCATTGGTCAAACCCTAAAAGGCGCAGAGGAGGAAAGAAGAAGAAAAAATGGATCAGCAGAGGCGGGAGGCAGGAAACGAAGGATAAATGGTGGATGGAGGTAAAGTAGGATAAAGGATGAGTGTAAAAAGAAGAAGTAAAGAAAGGGTCAAAAAGACATGCATATGTAAAATAAACATTAAGAAATTGAAATAAATGTGTATATGTGTGTTATGACATGGAGGTCAGTGTAAAATTAACAACCTTGGAATCATCAGCACAGTTAAACCAGGACACAAACCATATCAAGTTGAATGACGTTGTGTGATTTCTGATGACTTACCTGGACGATATCAGTGGCGTATTTCCGGCAAACTTCCTCAACAGACATTTTGTGTTCCGTCTACAAAGAATTCAAATGGAAAGTTAAACTAAAACAACCGGTTAGTTATTATATAAAATAAAACATATACATTCTGATTGTACTCAAGAAACTATCAAGCAATGGAACATTTTTCAAAGAACACACATTTTAAGGGCAATCGTGTTGGTGTTGTGTGAGCAAGTGATTGCGAAGCTATGTGTTTATAATTGGCTAAAGTTTCAGGTTTTATAAAAAATACCAGCTTATTAAGTTTTTTAACAAGGGATATCCTGAGGGTTGGGCTTCCTGCACCAAACAGGAGAAAATCCCTCCACAACAGGATTACATATCCTGGCATATACTCAAACTAGTACTACTGTAAAACCAGCTGCTACAGAATGTCATGTTATCTTTCAAACAGGGAGATTAAATTACAGTTGGATTGCAGCTCTCTAAATGCTGGAGAAAGGCCAGGATACAATGTTTTGCAAATTCAGACTACAGATGGGTTTTCACAGCTTTTCTACTGTCTGTCTTCATTTGAAATGACATTTTGGGGGTTTGTGAACCACCAATGGCACTACAAACAGGTGAAAAAAGATGTCAAATGACAGCGAGTGAGGTCACAGGAAGTAGGAAGCAGTGCACTTACTATGGGAACTTCCTTCTTGAGATCATCCAGATCCTTGCCTCCCTTCTTTTTGGGCGACTCCTTCTTATCCTTGTCCTGCGTGGTGGCCACGCGGTAGCTGTCTGACCGTCCATACTGTGAAACACAGAGGCAAGATCAGTAAGCAACACGCGTGGTCCTGTTGTTTTATTTCATCAGCTGTCTGTCACCCCTTATTCTCACTGCATCACAAGAAGGCATATTCAACAGTTACGAAACACTATGTTAACTCAATCCAAAGTCCAAGCAAAGACAGCTTAAGGACACCTTGATTGTCCTACTGATTATACCACAAATACTTATAGAAAATACTTTTGCTTGTCTGCCAGCTCCTAATTTTCTTATACATTAAGATCCAGACAAAACAACTACATTGAAATCCAAACTTAGATTGAAATCCCTCTGGTGTTAGATGGAGAGATTACACTTCCTGATTAGATCTGCCATCATTAGAGTACAGGCCTATCTCAAGGGCTCCAATTAAACTGCAATTTACACCACCGTCAGGCTAACACCATTCAGACTGCAGAGGCTGCTGCTGTGTCTGAAAGGAGGAGGAACATAACAGGAGCAAGGAGAGAGAGAGAGATTAAGGCAGTGGTTCTCAAAGTGGGGGGCGCGCCCCCCCAGGGGGGCACCGAGGCATGACAGGGGGGGCGCGAGAGACCAGGAGGAAAAATGGTTATTTAGAAAATAATATGATGCAGTACAGTACTATTACGTCTGGGTCTCTGTGTTTCATTAAAGCTCGGCTCTGTGTGTGTGTGGAACAAGCCATTTTGTGTGCGTGCGAGAGAGAGAGAGCGCACCGGTACCGGAGATCGTTGTTGTTAGCTTCTGGTGCTAGCGAGGTACGCTAACGGATATACAAAGTGGAGGAGAGTCCTCTCCTGTCATACTGAGAGGCTCAGTGAGCTAAAGGACTCTCAGTGTTATCTCAGTGGGTCTCAAACGTTTTGGTCACCATTAATGTAAACAATTATTTCCGAGGCACACATTTATATGATCATTATAGTTATAAAAAAATAAGAGAATAAATGAAAAACAGGTATGAAATACTATATGACATTAAAAAAATAATAAAGTTTAAAAGGGGAGTGATTTGTAAAATATCCATAAAGAAATAGTAAATCTGTTTACAGTTCTGTTTCATATGGGTGTTGAGAGATGTATCCATAGATCTCTTCATTTTGCTCTCAAAGTGCACCAGATTGATGCTTTTAACTTCAATATTTAAAAATCTTGCCCCCGGACCCCCCTATGTGAGGTCCACACACCACCTATAAAAATAGCACTTTACCCCTGCTTACACCTATATGCCAAGCTGATATCGAGCCTTCATTGTAACAGTCACGGGTACATTGTGTGTGTGGGGAGTGTTGCAGTAGAGAATTCCACAGTAGCGACGGGTATATTAATGGGAAACCCTAAATGTTTGAGCACCCTCTATGAAACGTCAAGCTACCCCACAGCACCCCCAAAATAAATCTTTGGCGCCGCCACTGAGCCTGACTATTTGTGTGGGGGTGCCCGACTTTTTTTTTTCTCCAAAGGGGGGGCCTGACAGAAAAAGTTTGAGAACCACTGGATTAAGGGAACATTCAGGGTCAGAAGGTAGACAGAAAGAGGGATTCAGAATAATGGATTAAATATGTCTGTAACGTGCTCTGCATCATGGGATATTCAAAACCCCCAGCATCCAACAGTTGTGTGTGAAGACCTTTGTGTTTGAGCCCTTTCTAATTCTTGAACATGAAGTGACATGTGTATTCACCATTATGAGGGTGAAGCAAAAAGAAAGTCGTGAAATATGTCCTCATGAATTTATTTTGTTTTGTGTGTAGCCCCTTGCTCACATGCTCCTGGGCGATAAATGCCTATTTCTTAAATCAAAGTAAGCATGTTACATTTAGAATGCCCACTGTTAGAGCCAGTAATTTGATTTGATAAGAAAGGCCACCTAATTGTGACGTCTGTAGTCAACGCACTATAAAGGACTACAATTCCCACGGCGCCTGGGCTAACGCCACAGTGATGGGCAACCTGTTGAGAGACGCCGTCGAGGAACAGTTTTTAACCGTACTCAATCGTACACGTACATGATACAAACCGTACAAGTACCCTTTAAGTTGTGAAGTTATAAGCATTATCAAGAAAGAAAGAATACCTAAGTTGTGTTGTTTTATTTGAGTTTTGCCTATTTCTTTTGAATATTGTAAAGGCCTATTTTTCTTTGTTGCATGTGCAAAAGTTTGTTATTTTATTTTGAGCAAATACATCGCAACATCTTCTAAACCATCGGAGGCCAAGCAACACTTCAAACTGTGAGTAATTTAAGGAGAGAAACGAGTTAGAACTGTCTGTTTAAGGCGATGGTGGCTTGGTGGAAAAACAAGGAAGGAAGCCACGACATTGTTAAAAACTCTCGTGACGGACAAATCCGTGTGGAATTAAATGGTTGCCACCATATTATTATAATGAATGAAATACTTTTGGAAATGAATGGATACGAGCGGATGTGAATCGTGAGTTTACAAATCACGGACTTCATAGTGAACAAGGAAGGACCGCATTGACTTTCTGGATTGTGACAACGTGGATTTCTGTGGAAAAAGGCTTGTGCCGCATGTTGTGGATGTTGCAATACAGTATAATCTAATGCTGGAAGTGGAATAAATTCGCTTATGAATAAAGTGTGGAACGTAACTCAAGGAGCGCATCTTGAAAAGCGCTTTAATAAGTTTGTCTATCTGGCTTACTGCCGCGGATCCAAGCCGCACACTAACAAAGCGCAACATTACAATAAGGACAGCTGTTTACAAGTGGATGTTTAATGACAATAAAGCATAACAATGGCTGAAAAGGAAAATGTGGAAACGAATGAAAGTCCTATGGACCCAAACGTGAATGAACGTGAAGTGCCCGTGGAAAATGCTGACGTCAGACCAAAAAGAACAATAAGACCTACAGAAAAGGCTTTAGAAGATAAGCTGGCGCAGTTAATTAAAAAAAGGAGAACGAAATTGGGTCAAGTCTCAAGGAAAAAAAATGAGATTGATTCACTCATGATTGATTATGGGAGTATCATTGAGATGCAAGGTTGTCGTGGGGTTTTTCAAATACTCTCCAAAGAGTTTTCAAACTCACATTATTCAGTGCAAGAAATGCTGTCGGAGCAAGAACAAGAAAGTGATCATGTTGACTGGTATCTCCCAAAAATTGCATATTTCAATGAGTTTCAAGATGTGATGAAGAAATGGTTAGCTAGAGCTGCCTCCTTTGAGCATGTGCCTCCTTTTGACCATGGCTCATATACTGCACATACGTCAAGTCCACATAAAGCAATATCAGTGGGCATGATAAGCAAAAAATGTAAAAGTAGTGGCAGCAATAAATCTTCAACAGCTTCATCAGTAAGAAGAAAGGCAGAGGCAGAAAGAGCTGCGCTCAGATCACGCGCTGCTGCCTTATCACAGAAACACTCACTTGAAAAACAAGAAGCTGACCTGGAAGCAATGAAAGCCAATATCAGAGCTAAAATGGAAAAGCTTGAGCTTCAAACTGATATTGATGCTGCAACAGCCACAATTAAAACATTGGAAGCTTCTGAGGATGATGACTCTGATCCTGACGCTTGTGTGGGAGAGGAGCAGTATGACACGGGTCAGCCAGATGAAAATGATGATTTCCAGGATGAAGAGAACCAAGGAAAACCGGTGGAGAAGGATAATAAAAAGAGTTTCATATACTCAAATTCAATGAACTCAAATCATGCAGCCCCTAGTGGTCATGGCCAAGTATTACAACCAGGGCCCACAACAAGGACAGCAGCATCAGCACAGCAGCATCACTCCACCCAAGTCAGACAAAGCTCTCGTACAGAAAGCAATGACTTTATTCAAGTAATGCAGCGGCAAAACGAAATCACTGAAATGCTAATGAAGGAGCAACGCTTAACATTACTCCCATCCAGAGAAATACCCATCTTTAAAGGAGATCCATTACAGTACCTTTCATTCATCAGAATGTTCGAGCATACAATAGAAGATAAAACTGACAATTACAAAGACAGGCTGTTCTTTCTAGAGCAGTATACAGAAGGCCAAGCTAAAGACTTGGTCAAAAGTTGCCAATACATGGATTCTAAAAAGGGCTTTTTGGAAGCCAAAAGACTGCTCCAAGAGAACTATGGACATCAACTCTTAATTGCAGCAGCTTGTTTGGACAAAATGTTGAACTGGAATGCCATCAAGAGTGAAGATAGAAAAGCACTGCATTCTTATGCTATCTTTCTTCGTGGATGTTGCAACACAATGGAAGATGTTGAGTTTTTGGATGAAATAAATAGCACAGCAAACATGAGAAATGTGATCATGAAACTCCCATTTAAACTTAGGGAAAAGTGGAGATCAACTGCATATGCATATTATGAACACAATAAGACAAGAGCAAAGTTTCCAATATTGGTCGACTTCATTGAAAAGCATGCACGCATTGTATCAGACCCCATGTTTGGAGACATACAGGATGTCATGCCAAAAAGGGATATTAAAGTGTACAAGTCACCCAGCAATAAGCCTGCTCATGGTTATAAGGGAAGTAGTTTTGTTACTGTGACAAGCCCAGGAGTTAATGAAGAGCAAAAACCTTTCCAAAACATCAAAACAGACCATAAAGGCATTACTGTTCAGAAGCGCTGTGTATTTTGTGCAGGAGAACACACCTCTGAAACATGTAAGATGAACAAAACATCTCACAATGAAAAAATCGACTGCTTAAAAGCACAAAGAATTTGCTTTGGCTGTCTAACGAAAGGACATCTAAGCAAAGACTGTCAGAAAAGACTGAAATGTGAAGTTTGTTCAATGAAACATCCAACAATATTGCACAGCTACAAGAAAAGGATTGAACAAAAAGACAACTCTGATAAATACACCCAAGCAGCTTCTGTAAGCAGTGCATTAGTCTCTTTAAATGGCAGAAACCACACTGGGGCCGGTGGTCAACAAACCCTACCAATTATCCCAGTTCAAATCGAGTTGTCAAACTCGAACCAGACTGTGCAGACTTACACATTTAAGGATCAGGGAAGCACT